CATATTCTGACCTCTGGGTGCCTGCACATCAGCACACCTTCTCACACAAAAATAAATGAGAGAGAGAGAGAGAGCGTACAAATAGCTCAGGTTTCAAGTTGAGAAGCAGTTTCTCTCCATTTGGGTCCTTGCTGTCCATGAAGTCTTAATTCACTGAGTAATTCTGCACGTTTTGATTAGTCTGGTGTTATTTTGAAGAGTGAGTGTGTGTGCCTTCTTGGTAATGTGCTAGCCTCGATCTTGTGGCATGCTCCTGCCTTGTTCTAAGTGCTGGTATTACAGTTTTGAGCTTCCGCCCAGCCAGAATTTGAACCACATCCAGCTCCAGGGTATCTCTGTGTCTTCTCTTGCTGCCATCTTTCCTGGGCTCTTAAATGCCTCCAAGCCTCAATTTTCCCAGCTATTAGGTTGGGTTGGATATGTGTAAGCCTCAGCCTTCTCTTAAAGATTTCCTGTCTCTGGGTTACTGCAGGCTGCATGCAGGGAATGGTGCCCTATCTACCTGAGCTGATTCCACACCTCATCCAGTGCCTGTCAGACAAGAAGGCCCTGGTACGCTCCATTGCCTGCTGGACGCTGAGCCGCTATGCCCACTGGGTAGTCAGCCAGCCCCCTGACATGCACCTCAAGCCTCTGATGACAGAGTTGCTCAAGCGTATCCTGGATGGCAACAAGAGGGTACAGGAGGCAGCCTGCAGGTGAGCCTTGCCCCCTGACCCCGTCTGCACAGCGGCCCCACACCCTGGGAAGTGATGACGCCTTTGACTGCTGACACACACTGATCTCTGTCGTATTCGTACTGGCTGATCCCACATTCATGCTCCCTAGCTTCCTGTGGTGCAGTGCCATCTGCTAGAGTGCTGTAAGCTTTCCTTCCTATCTTTCATCCACCAGTGCCTTCGCTACCCTGGAGGAAGAGGCATGCACAGAGCTGGTTCCCTACCTCAGCTATATCCTTGACACTCTTGTTTTTGCCTTTGGCAAATACCAGCACAAGAACCTGCTCATCCTCTATGATGCCATTGGTACCCTGGCCGACTCTGTGGGCCACCACCTCAATCAGCCGGTGAGACGCTAGAGACCCTCTGCCCTGTCCTTGTGCCCCTTAGCATCTGGTGTAAGATGCTAGGGACATGACCTGCCTGCTTGACAGGCAGGCTGAAGCGCTTTATTTAATTAGCCTTTCCCATACCCTGCCTCTGGTATAGTGTGGAGGTGGACAGTTATGAGGCAGCATGGTCAGTGCTATGCTCAGGGAGTGCAGTGACCTGTGGGAAGCAGGAGGCCCTACTCAGGTTTCTGGGAGTGGGAGGAAGGGAAGGATTTACTAAGGACAGACAGATGAGAAGCATCAGCAGGGCTTCCAGATTTTGAACTATGGCCAGGATCCTGGATGTCATCCTTTAAGGGACAGCATTGACTGAGTTAGGCTGCCAACCTGTCTAGGAAGCCCAATCTCCCACTCCTTCTCCAGGAATACATTCAGAAGCTCATGCCTCCACTGATCCAGAAGTGGAATGAGCTCAAGGATGAAGACAAGGACCTCTTCCCCCTGCTGGAGGTGAGTGGGCTTAGGTCCTCCCTCAGAGTCCTCTCTCCTGGCCAGAGCTCACCCTTGCCCTTCTCCCTGCCAGTGCCTGTCATCTGTGGCCACTGCTCTGCAGAGTGGCTTCCTGCCCTACTGTGAGCCTGTCTACCAGCGCTGTGTTACCCTGGTGCAGAAGACACTGGCCCAGGCTATGGTGAGCACCCTTGGCCCTCTGTGAGCTTGCTGTGCTGTCCAGGTTCTAGCCTTCCTCCCTCATCTGCCCCCTTTGTATCCAGATGTACACACAGCACCCTGAACAGTATGAGGCCCCTGACAAGGACTTCATGATCGTTGCACTGGACCTGCTTAGTGGCTTGGCTGAGGGCCTGGGTGGCCATGTGGAGCAGCTGGTAGCCCGAAGTAACATCATGACATTGCTCTTCCAGTGTATGCAGGTGAGGGGCTACCCTACATAGGCTACACTGAAGTCAGGCCACACCTAAACAGGCCAAGGGGACTTTTTCTAGGCCGTAATAGTTCAACTGCCATAGTTGACCCTGGGGCTAGTCAGGGCCTTGATTGTGCCCAGGGAATGTCAACGAAAGGAGCCCTTAAAAATCAAAATCTCACAGGCTGCAGAGCGCTCGCCGCTCTTGCAGAGCACCTGGGTTTGGTTGCCAGCACCCACCCACGTGGTAGCTCACAACCATCAAACTCCAGCTCTCTTCTAGTCTTTGTGTGTACATGGTGCACAGACATACATGCAGGCAAAACTCTAATTACACACTTAAGGTGAAAACAAATACATACTTTTTCTTAGAGATTCTGGGAATGGTATTACATGATCTTAAAAGCCCAGCATTCAGGAATCAGAGGCTTACAGGTCTCTGAATTTTTGGTCAGTCAAGCTACATAGTGAAACCTTGTCTCTAAAATAAAATAGTCAATTCTGTGCTGTTGAGATGGCTCAGTAGGTGGAGATATCTACCATATGGTCTATGACAACCTGACCAGAGAACCCGGACACACATGAGTGAGTGAACCAGCTCTAGTTGACCTCTGACCGCCACATGTCTGTCATGGCACTTTTACTTGCTCATGCATACACAGATTAAATTAATAAAAATTCTACAGCTGGGGAGATAGCTGTGTAAACATGGTGAGCTCCACAGCCTGGATTTTGGCTTTTTTAAGCAGTTATGTTTAGTGGCACCTGCTTGTAATCCCAGCTGTGGGGAGACAGACATAGAGGCAGTAGTTCCTGGGGCTTCTGGCCAATTACTCTGTTCTAATTAGTGCTCTCAGGCCAGTGAGAGACCCTGTGTCACAAAACAAAGGGGAAGGCTGGGATAGGCAGCGGGAGAGCTCCTGCTTACCATGTGTAAGGCTCTAGCAACCTCCAACACTAACATCTACAAATAAATGTTGGGTGGTTCCTCAGGAATGACACCTGGTTTTTGCCTGTCGTCCCATGCACAGGTGTCCGCCATACCCTACCCACACATAAATACAATACCATTTTTTGTCAAGAAACGTAGTGCGGGTTTTGATCTCAAAAATAAAGTGTAGGTACAGGCCTTTATTTAATCCCAGCTCTTACATGCAGAGATAGGTGGATCTCTGTGACTTCCACGCTAACCAAGCTATGTAGTGAGACCATGTCTTAAAAATGTGTGTGTGTGAGCTGGGTGTTGGTGGTGCACACCTTTAATCCCAGCACTCAGGAAGCAGAGGCAGGCGGATCTTTTGTGAGTTGGAGGCCAGCCCGGTCTACAGAGTGAGTTCCAGGACAGCCTCCAAAACAATACAGAGAAACCCTGTCTCGAAAAAAAAAAAAAAGTTGTGTGTGTATGTGTGTATATATACACATTTGTATATGGGCTAGAGAGATGACTTAGTCAGTAAAGTGCTTGTTGCACAAGAATAGGAACCTGTGTCGGGCGTTGGTGGCGCAGGCGGATCTCTGTGAGTTCGAGACCAGCCTGGTCTATAAAAGCTAGTTCCAGGACAGCCTCCAAAGCCACAGAGAAACCCTGTCTTGAAAAACCAAAAAAAAAAAAAAGAATAGGAACCTGCATTTAATCTCCATCACCCAAGGGAGCAGAGACTGAAGTGTTGGCTTATGTTAAGGGTACATACTGCTCTTCCTGAAAACCTCAGTTTGGTTCCAGCACGCATGTTAGGTAGCTGACAATGACAACTGTCTGTATGTATAACTCTAGGTCTTCAGGGGATCCGACTCCCATTGTAGCCTCCAAGGATACCTGTACAACTCGTCCCCAGCATATAAACATAATTAAAGATAAAAATAATGGGTGAAGCTGCACAGAGGTACCTGTGATCCCATCACTGGGAAAATAGAGACAGAAGGATCCTTGGAGTTCTCTGGCCAGCTGTGTCTAGCTGTGTTTCAGTGAGCTTAGGTTTAGAAAGAAATTTTGTCTCAAAACTAGGGTTGGGTGGCAATCCAGTGTGCATGAGCCCTTGTGCTACATATGGTAGTAAGCCTGGTTTGTGTAGCAGACCCTGTCTCAATAAATAAAACTTAGGAGTGTGTTTAATACAACTTATTTTGTTTGTGGTTAGGGGGTTGGGGATGGAACAGGGTTCTGGAGGTTTTCAGTAAATGCTTACCAGTGAACCTCACTGCCAGGTCCTGGCAACAGGCTATAGTTTAGTCGGAGGTAGCTAACAGTAGGGACAGCCCTGCACCACAGCCAATGTTTGTGGTCAGGATACGCTCTAGGGACTGTGCCACCTCAGCTGGCTTGGATGGAAGGAGTGGGAGCCCTGTCATTTTGCCACCTCTCCCAACTCCAGGATTCCATGCCTGAGGTCCGGCAGAGCTCCTTCGCCCTTCTGGGAGACCTTACCAAAGCCTGCTTTATCCACGTCAAGCCCTGTATCGGTAGGCTACCCCCTTTGCCCTATCCTATGGCCCCAGTACTGGCCTCCAGTGACGGAGACATACCCTGGGAGGCCCATGACTGGACTGGGATGTATTCATACTGTTTGAATGGACTGTCCAGCCAGTTCTGGGAGTGTGGCTTCATTGGCCTTTCTGCTCAGTTTTTTCTCTTTCTGCTCTTTTCGTTCCATTAGCTGAATTCATGCCTATCCTGGGCACCAACCTGAACCCCGAGTTCATCTCTGTCTGTAACAATGCCACCTGGGCCATTGGGGAGATCTGCATGCAGATGGGTGAGTGCCCTGCAAGTGGCAGACTGCCCCTTCATTGGTCTGTTTCTGTCCTGGGGTCCCTCAAGGAATGCCGCTGATTGTCCAGGGTCAGGATCATGCTTTGATTTCCCTGACAGGTGAAATCAAATAACTAAAAAGCCATTTATGAGGTGGGGTAGATGGTCTGTTCTGCTGGACCATCTCATGTAACTGTCTTCCCGGAAGGTCCAGTGGGATCAGTTGGGTGACTGGCCTCCTGACCTTGTGGGTAGTGAATTCAGAGACTCCTTTGGGTGGGTCTGTTGTGGCTGTGGACTTGGCTGGGAGCATCCGGAGGAGATTCTTTATTCTCTTAGGCTTTGTGGTGCAGCAGTCCACATAGAACTGGGGACATGGATTGGGGTCAGCCGTACCCAGCTGGCCTTCCGTGGGTGGAGTGGGCCATGAAGGGCTCTGAATGACTGGTCCCTAGGGGCAGAGATGCAGCCCTATGTGCAGATGGTCCTCAACAATCTGGTGGAGATCATTAACAGGCCCAACACGCCCAAGACACTACTGGAAAACACAGGTGAGTACCAGGCCTGGGCTGAGAGGGAGAGTTCCAAGAAGGGTGTCAACACCTGAAATGGGATTCTGGGAGGAACCCAAGAAAGAATACTGGTTTTAGAGTATATGGGAAAAGACCCAGGCTGCGTGGGGAGGATATTTATATGGGCCAAACTCAAAGGCCCAGGATAGCCATAGGGTCCTTCAGTTGGGGCCTGTGGGACGGGGCTCGGTGCCTCCTGCCAGAGGCCCCGCCACGTACCGTCCCGGGGCCACTCGGGGTTGCAGGTCGCCTGACGAGTCCCTCTGCCATTCCAGCCATCACCATCGGCCGCCTGGGCTACGTGTGCCCACAGGAGGTGGCACCCATGCTGCAGCAGTTCATCCGGCCTTGGTGTGTGCCTGCCTGGGTGGGACCTGCTGGGGGTGGGCAGGACAGCTTTGCTCCCAACGCCACCCCCATGGATGCATGTGGGAGACCTGTGCCCATGGACACCCCACCCCTACCCCTTCCCTCCATCCAGCCTTCACTTATGCTTGTCCAGACCCAAACCCATCCACTGACCTGCTGCCCTCCTCCATGGCCAGGTGCACGTCCCTTAGGAACATCCGGGACAACGAGGAGAAGGATTCTGCCTTCCGAGGCATCTGCATGATGATTGGTGTCAATCCTGGGGGTGTTGTGCAGGTCCGGGCAGCGGGACTCAGAGGGCAGGGCGGGGGCTGGCTTGGGCGGCCCCTCACATGGGATCCGTCATGTTTCAGGACTTTATTTTCTTCTGCGATGCTGTAGCCTCCTGGGTGAGCCCGAAGGATGACCTTCGGGACATGTTTTATAAGGTGAGACTCCTGGTCCCATAGGCATCCTGGGAGTAGACACCACAGGCTTGCCCCAGCCCATTGTCACCCCTACTTTACTGCAGATCCTCCATGGCTTCAAAGACCAGGTCGGGGAGGAGAACTGGCAACAGTTCTCAGAGCAGTTCCCTCCTCTGCTCAAGGAGAGGCTGGCAGCCTTCTATGGGGTCTAGGCGAACGAGGAGACCACCAGGTGAGCAGGCCTTTCAGTACTTAGGCCTGTCAGACAAGGATGAAGACCCTGACCCTCTCTCTCCCCTACAGGTTTCTGTCTGCGTCATCGTCGGAGGGTGTGCTGGGGAATGTGCTGCTTCCAGAAGTCACTGTGCCCTGGTCCAGGGGGGTTAGGGAGGAGTGAGTGGGACCTCTATTCGGATGCTACTTAGCCTGTGCATCTGTCCATCTGCTGGTCCACTTGCCCCACCGGGCCTGACGAGTGGCAGGTGGGTGGGGACTCCATGCTCATCCTACAAATAGGGAGGGGGGTGGGACTTGTTGGTGGGCAAGAGTTCTCTAGGCTCTAATCTGGGTCATCTCAGGCAGCCCATTGGGCCAGCCATGTGGGAGGGAGGAATCCTAAGGCCTGCCGAATCCGGTGTCAGATAAGGCAAGGGAATTACAGGTGGGGAGGGGGTTTCTTGTAGAGAAGCATACACTCACATGTACACATGTGGACACGCATGTGCGGGCACCGCAGCCAGCTAGGCTGGGCCAGCCATCCCACCATTTCCTCGACTGCATGGAGACAGTAGAATTAGTGAACCCCCAAATATGCCTATGGCCTTCTGTGTACCTTGCATCTAGAGTATAAGAAGCTTCCGCTGTTTTGCCGGAATTGGCGGTGATTGGGAGGGCTGGGAGGTTTGGGGGACCTCAGCTGGGCCCCCAGGGCCAAGGGAGGAGGGTGGTCATTGTGGGGCTACCCTCTCAGCACTTGCACACTTTGGACCTGCTCCATACACTTGCTACCAGCCTCGTGGTAGCCTCATTTAGTGTGTCCCCATCTTTGTTACATCCCAGCCAGCAGCAGAATGGGGACCATTGGAGCAGCTGGGACTAAGGCTATCCTGTAGGCTTTTCCTGTGCTCCAAAGGTATTTAAAGGCATAGGCCTGGGACTACTTTTCCTTAAGAGAGCTAAGGGCAGCCAGAGCAGCTGGCATTTCTTGGATCGCTCTTGAAACAGCTTCAAGGATAGCCCAGTTCTGTCCCTGAGAACTCAAGAGCTGGGACAGCATGGTGAGGATAGAAGATGAAAGTTTACTGGGTCCAGCAAGACTTGAAGGCTTGGAGGAGCAGGGTGTACCCAGGGCTTCAAACTTTGTCCCTTTTGGGACTCTATGCTCATCACAGTGTCCACTGGACTCAGAATCCCCCACCAGATTGGTACACTAGTTCTAAAAATGCTTGAAGAAATTGGTGGGGGATGCCATCAAGGTAGGAGAGGCATTCTGAGAGGAGGGAGGCATGATTATTTCCAAATCGGCCTTGCAAGATCCCTGAACGTTTATCCTCCATCCCCTTCCTTGCTTCTTACTGCTTTGGAGGTCCATTATATTTTGGGCTTTGACCCGAGTTCTGCACCTTAGGACCTGTTCCATCATCCCTCTGAGGACCTGGACCTTACCCCATCCAGGCCATGTGTCTTCTCTCTAGTAGGGTCAGGCCCTGCCTCTATTCCCAGGGACACTTAGTGCACATTCCATAGCTCAGCTAGTGGTCCCCAGCCCCTCCAGCCTCAAACTTGAGCAGGTCTCTGGAAGCCATTTGTAGGGAAAATTTTTTAAAAGAAAAATACCATTAGCTCTCTGTAACTGCACTTCTTTGGAGCATCCTCTGCTGGGTCTTGGGGTGGATTGATGGATGACTGTCAGATGGAGTTGTGACCACCTCTGCCCAAGGTGGGGTTCCAACCACCTTCAGGAAAGGGAGCCCAATTCTTGTATTTTCCCTTTTTTATTTTATTTTATTTTTTTAAAGAAATAATTTAATTTTTTAATTTATTTTTTAGTTGGCTTTTGCACAATGAAGTTTCAGTTTCTTAACCTTCCTTGCCCAGGGCTGCGGATACAGACTGACCTTGATCTGCAGCCCCCCCCCCAGCCCCCCATTTCCCTGAGTCTTTCATTACCATTACCCTGTGGGCTCCCAGGTCTGTCCATCTGTTACTGTGCTGTGCTGGGGACTATCGCCTAGGTGGCGTGAGATTCCACTTGTGTAGAACTTTGTTGAGTAAAGGTCAGTTTCTTGTGAAACCCTTGATGTCTGCTTTCCTAGTCCTTGGCTTTGGTGGTAGAGTGGTGGACGTGGGCCTTTCTGGGACTCCAGGGCAGTGGAGTGAGGACGAGAGCATCCATGGGCTCTGCGAGGAATAAGGTAGAGCAGGGCACCTGAGGGTGAGTTGAGATGGCAGCTGGTCCTGGTGGGCTACATGATTGGGCCAAGAGGCTATCAAGTTTGCCCCAATTGAGACCTTGTCTCAAAAAGTGGAGCTAGAATTCCCTTCATGAGATCAAATTGAGGGACCAAGGAAACCTGTTTCCATCTTGGTAATGTGGGAAGGTGAGTGTGAACTCTGGTGATTAGATATTCTCCATGATTAATAACCCAATAAAGGGCTGCTGTACATTAAACCTTACTGCAAAGCCTTAAAGCAGACACAACTTTGGGTCACTGGGCAGGCTAAAAATTCTTGGAGTTATTAAAATAACAACTGGCCAGGTGGTGACACATGCTTTTAATCCTAGCACTTAGGAGACAGAGGCAGATGATTTCTGTGAGTTCAAGGCCAGCCTGATCTATAGAGTGAAATCTAAGACAGCCAGGGCTACTCAGAGGAACCCTGTCTCGAATAACAACAACAAAAAAAACCTCTCTCCAAAAACAATATGACAGTGTACACTTGTAATCCAGCTACTTGGAAGACTGAAGCAGAAGGATTGTAAATGAAACCAGTGTGAAGTTCTCAGGAAAAAAAAGCCTTTTATGCAAGACATGTTGACTCACACCTATAATGGCAGCATTTGGAAGTCAGAAGCAGACGAATCTTTTGAGTTTGAGGTTAGCCTGGTGTGTGTAGTAAGTTTGAGACCAGATGGAGCTACAGTGAGACCCTTAAAATTAAAAAAAAAAAAAAAGGCACTTAGTGTTCTACATGGCCAATTAGAAATTTGTGTTTGGGGCTAGAGAGATGATTCGGGTTAAGAACACTAGCTGGTCTTCCAGAGGTCCTAAATTCAATCCCCAGCAACCAGATGATGGCTCACAACCATCTGAAATGAGATCTAGTACTCTCTTCTGGCTGTCAGGGATACATTCGAACAGAGCACTGTATGCATAACGTGAATAAAATCATTACCAAAAAAAAAACCTATTAAAATTTTGTGTTTGTGGGGAGCTGTACGCTGTAGACAAAATTATCCTGACCTACCATTTATCCACTTATGTCTGTGTCTGATCTAGTGTCATTTGGGACAACCTGCATCAATGTTCCTGGGCCATGGTCATTCAACCTAAAAATAAAGTGTGTGCGGTTGAGAGCCTAAGTTAGGATTCCCAATACCCACATAAATGTTGGGAATAGAAGAGCAACTAACTCCAGCACTGAGGAGCAGAGACGATGGAATCCTAAAGCTTACAGGTTGTTTAGGTCAGCCTACTAAAAATGGTTATCAGTGAAAAATCTGTTTCAAGATCTATGATGGGAGTCAGAATTTAGTCAACACATAAAGGTGTTTGCTGCCTGGTGACCTAAGTTTGATTCCCAACAGAACCTACCTAAAGGTGAAGGGGAATTGACGCACAGAGTTGCTCTCTGACCAGCATATGTATGTTGTGGTATACAGCAGCACACTCCTCACACAGAATAAAATTCAGGACAAAAAAAAAAACCCTACGATGTAGATTGAAGAAGACACTCCTGCCCCCTTCCATCTCCACCTCGGCCTCCAAATGTGCACAAGGCATAAACTGGGCTGGGGTGGAAGGCGGCCCGGTGGCTAAGCGCTTGGGCCAGGTTCGTGGTGCACGCCTTTAGCCGCAGCACTCGGGAAGCAGAGGCAGACGGAGCACCGAACTCGAAGCCACCAGGGTCACGTGGTGAGACCACGTCTAAAAGCGCTTGGTGTTGCTAGAGACCAAGTTGGGTTTCAGCATCCACACCAGGCGGTTGCCGCCCTGTAACTCCAGCTTCAAAGGGTCCCAAACAGATAAAGGTAAAAATAAATCCTTAAAAACAACAAAAGACTTCGAGATGAAACTTGCTTATGGTTAAAAAAAAAAATCGCAGACAGAAGTGACCAGCTTGCGGTTTGGACATTAGGCTTCCTAGCAGCAATCTCGCTTCCGGTGGCTTCTGATGTCACCTAACAAGCGCCGGAACTGATCGCGCGCTGCCTAGGAAACAGGACGCGGCCCAGTAGTAGCCAAACCTGAGAGCCGCACCCACCCTGTCGCCATGGAGCTTCCCTCAGGGCGGTGCGGGGATCCTCGCTCTTGTGATGATGAGTCGGACCCCGAGCCAGACCCGGACCCTGACATTCAGGCTGAGGCCTACGTAGCCCGCGTGCTCACTCCACCCAAACCTGGCCTGACCCCGCGGCGCTCGTCGCTACAGTCCACGCTCTCCGCGTCCCTGGACGCGCCGGAGCGAAAGGCTGCCTCCAGAGTCCCGCCCGGGCGCCTGCCGGGCCTGCTGAGCCTTCCCCCGGAGCTGCTGCTGGAGATCTGCGCCTACCTGGATGCGCGGGTCGTGCTCCACGTCCTGCCGTGCGTGTGCCAAGCACTGCACGACCTCGTGCGTGACCATGTCACCTGGAGGCTACGCGCTCAGCGCCGCGTACGTGCACCCTACCCAGTGGTGGAAGGTACGCACGCACACCCCGGGGAGCAGCAACTCCTGCCTAGGTCTGGCTTGGGGTGGGACCTGGTCTGCGGGTACGCACAGCTTCTGGAGCAGGCTTCAAGGCTTCAGGAGTTGCCCAATCTTTTATCGACCACAAGGCAGATACTTGGCTTCCTCAGGCAAAGCTCTGAACCTGGGATCTCTAAACTTAGAATTCAAAGATTCTCCGGTTTGGGCTTTGTTAGCACTAAGGCCCTAGCCCTGATGGGAATAACTCTAGGACTTTTTGGATTGTACTTGGAATGAGAATACATCCAAAGAATCCTTAGGCTCTTGTATGAGACACAAGCGGCAGCTGGCTTAACAAAGCCCTTGATCCCTGGAATGTTGGTCCCGGCTAGGTTCTGAGTCTCCCCCAAACCTGAACTAGACTCAGGATTTAGGAATTGGGATCGTTTATACCAGTAATCGTTGATACCTGTGTCTAGCCTGTCATCTTTTTTTTTTTTTTTTTTTTTTGGTTTTTCGAGACAGGGTTTCTCTGTGGCTTTGGAGGCTGTCCTGGAACTCGCTCTGTAGACCAGGGTGGCTTCGAACTCACAGATCCACCTGCCTCTGCCTCCCGAGTGCTGGGAGTAAAGGCGTGCGCCACCAACGCCCGGCCATCTTTTCTATTTTATTCTTTATTTTGAGACAAGTTCTTATGTAGCCCAGGCTTGCCTTGTACCCCTGATCCTCCTCCTTTTAGCCTTAGAAGTGCTGGGCTAGCCTGTCATCTTTGCAGAGCTAGTGTGTTATTTCTTCTACCCTTGACTCCATTGGTTTGTCTTTTTTGTTTGTTTGTTTTTGTTTTTTCAAGACAGGGTTTCTCTGTGTAGCTTGGGAGCCTATCTTGGAACTCACTTTGTAGACCAGGCTGGCCTCGAACTCACAGAGATCCTCCTGCCTCTGCCTCCCAAGTGAGTGCTGGGATTAAAGGCATGTGTCACCACTGCCTGGTGGCTTCTGTGTCTTAATGTGGCTTCCTGGTTTACAGTTAGAAGTTTAAGAATTGTGTCTCTGGGTCTGGGTCAGGTGGCTAAGGCCAGAAGGGGTTGTGAGTCTTGAGGCCCTGGAGAGGACCGAGGGTGAGGCTGTTGTCACCTGGGCTCCAGTTGTGGAATGGAAAGTGTAGTTTAGCTTTCTTAGAGCTGGGGTAAGTATTCCTAGTCCTGTACTGGAGATAGCTGATTGGATAGCAAGGTCAGAGTCTGCCTGCTTGGGGTGGGGAGTGGCATCCAGGTGTCATTCTATCTAGGTCTGGTGAAGTTTGGGCTCCCTGGCAGCCAGGGCTGGACTCTCTCAGCTGATGCCCACTGACTATCGTGCTCATGGTACCCCACAGAGGAGGACTTTGACTGGCCAACTGCCTGCATCGAGTTGGAGCAGCACCTGGCCCGCTGGGCAGAGGATGGACAGCGAGCTGAGTACTTCTGCCTGGCTGATGGTCACTTTGCTTCCATTGATGCAGTGTTGCTGCTCCAGGTGAGGGTTAGGGTTAGGGTTAGGTGGGAGGCCAGGAGAGGTAAGGGATGGAGAACCTCTACAACATCTGTCTCCATGCTCTCCTTCCAGGGTGGGGCACTGTGTCTGTCAGGTTCCCGAGATCGCAATGTCAACCTGTGGGACCTACGACATTTAGGAAAGGAACCTAGCCGAGTTCTGGTGAAGGCCTTGGGCACCCAGGGCAATAGCACACACAAGGTGAACAATCTTGGGGTGCATGAAAAAGGCTGGGAGGGAACTGCAACTCAGGGACTGGGATTTGATAGCAGATTGCATAGACTTGACTCTGCCTGTGCTGTTGGAGTAACTATTGGTGAGTTAAGTTTTCGCTGTCCAATGGGTGGTAAGATGAGGATAGATAAGTATTAAGACACATATGCCATACATTTATTCTTTGGCACACAATAGATGCTCAATAAGTTATCAGGTATACCTCGAGAAGCCCATTGCAGAACAGTTACTAAGCTGCCATTGGGTATCAGCTAGCCTTCAGTATGACTATCCTTTCATGAAAAGTGGCTGATGGGGGCTGGAGAGATGGCTCACAGGTTGAGAGCACTGGCTGCTCTTCCAGAGGTCCTGAGTTCAATTCTCAGCAGCCACATGGTGGCTCACAACCTTAATGAGATCTGGTGCCCTCTTCTGGCCTGCAGGCAGACATGCGGGAAGAATACTGTCTGTATACTTAATGCATACATAAATAAAATATTTTTAAAAAGGAAAGAAAAGTGCCTGATGAAGGACAGTTCCACTACCCCTAAGGTCATGTGTGCCCTTGTCCACTCTGTTGCACATCCTGGCTGTGTGTTGTTGTTAGGGGATTCAACCTCTCTGCACCCAAGTTGCATCATTTATCAAACAGCATATATTACAGTACCTTTCTTTTTTTTTTTGGTTTTTCGAGACAGGGTTTCTCTGTGGCTTTTGGAGGCTGTCCTGGAACTCGCTTGGTAGTCCAGGCTGGTCTCGAACTCACAGAGATCCGCCTGCCTCTGCCTCCCAAGTGCTGGGATTAAAGGCGTGCGCCACCAACGCCCGGCTTACAGTACCTTTCTTAAAGAGTTTGCCAGGGAATGTGTTGACCAGATGCCAGCCCACCACACATAGTAACTGATGAGGGAGGAAGGTTTTTTTTTTTTTTTGTCTAGTTAGGTTCTGTATTTTCTTCCTTTCGTTTTTCTTCTTCTTCTTCTTTTTTTTTTTTTTTTTTTTTTTAAGGACAGGTCCAGGAACACACTTTGTAGACCAGGTTGGCCTCAAACTCACAGAGATCTGTCTGCCTCTGCCTCCACCACTGCCCAGCTACTTTTGTTTTTTTATTTTTAATTGAAAATTTATGTATGTGGGTGTTTTAGTTGCATGTATGTCTGTGCACCAAGTGTACATGGAGGCCGGGAGAGGGCATTGGATCCCTTGGAACTAGAATTACAGGTGGTTGTGAGCTGCCCTGTAGGTGCTGTGAATCAAACCTGTGTCCTCTGAAAGTTCATAACTGTTGAACCCTTGAGCCTGCATGCTTAATTTGCTTGTTTGAGGCCTCAAACCTCCATCAATGTGGGCCTCAACGTAGACCGTGATGGTCAGGCCTGTAGTGCTAACACTCTCAGGAAGCTAAAGGCAGGGAGGATTGTCCTGAGTTTGAAACTAGCCTGGACTGCAGAGTCAGACTATTTCAAAGAGCAGAAGTGCAAAAACAAGCTATTGAAAACTGCTAGAGTGTAGCTCAGTGATAGAACATTTGCCGAGAGTGTGTTGAGGTCCTGGATTCTATCCTAGCACAAAGAGAGTGGTGAGGGGCACTGAGAGAGTGAGAGTCTCTCTAGAAACTATTGGGGGAATGTATGTTCTTGTCACCAGGCTCTGACAGACCCAAACCTTAACCTCACACATTGGGATGTGTTGTTTGCCTCCTCCCTCTGACCCTTGGTTTTGTCATCTGTAATGGGAGCCGTGTGTTACTGAAGAGTCTGTGAAAGTAGGCGCAAGGGAAGGAAAAGCTGTTTGGCTTTGAGCGAATCTGTTCATCTCTTGCATCCTCTTCTGCAAAAGCAAGAAGGTCCAGGCTTCCTCTTGGGCTTTGGGGAGGAGAGAGCCATGAGCTGTTACACAGCCCTCAAAGTGACTTGTGCCTGCTCCCACAGGGCTGGGTGTGGTCGCTAGCAGCACAGGACCACCGTGTGTGCTCCGGCTCTTGGGACAGCACTGTGAAGCTGTGGGACATGGAGGCTGATGGGCAGCAGTTTGGCGAGATCAAGTGTGAGGGGGCCCGGGCAGGGGGCCTGGGTGGGTAGGGCCCTGCCCAAGCCATCACCCCAGCCTTGTGTGCCATGTGTCCCCAGGGGCAAGGCGGCAGTGCTGTGCCTCTCCTACCAACCTGACATCCTGGTGACTGGTACCTATGACAAGAAGGTGACCATCTATGATCCCAGAGGTGAGCTTTTGATTTAAGTGCTTGGAAGGCAAACGATAGCAGATCTCTGGGAGTTGAAGACCAGCATGGTCTACACAGTAAATTCCAGGCCAACCAGGGATACACAGTGAGACTTTGGCTCAAAAACAAAACAAGAGAAACACAAAACAATAGAAAAGAACATTGGGGATGGGGGGAGGGCAGTGCAGGAGCTGGAGATGGCTCAGCAATTAAGAGCACTGATTGGCCTCCCAGAAGACCTGGGTTGTGTGGGAGGCACCCACATGCTAGCTAACAACCACTTGTAACTCTAATTTAAGAGGATCCATTGCCTTCTGGCCTTCATGGGCAGGGTATGCATGCCATGCACAGACATACGTAGACAGAACACCCATACACATAAAAAAGGAATCTCAAAAATTAAAACAAGCCGGCCATTGGTGACGCACGCCTTTAATCCCAGCACTCGGGAGGCAGAGGCAGGCGGATCTCTGTGAGTTCAAGGCCAGCCTGGTCTACAGAGAGAGTTCCAGGACAGCTTCCAAAACAATACAGAGAAAACCTGTCTCGAAAAACCAGAAAAAAATTAAAACAAACAAACATTGAGTCATTTGAGCAAAGACCATTGGTGGATAACATAACCTGTCTGCACTGCAAGTATTTTCTGTGTTTCTGTGATCCATTGTTCTTGTTCTAGAGATTGAACTAGTACCTCCCTCATGCTAAACAAATGCTTGGTCCCTGAAATGTATTCCTTTTTTTTGCTCATTTTGAGATTGACTATGTTGCCCAGGCTAGCCTCAAACACACTCTATATCTTAGGCTGGCTTCTACTTATTAATCTTCCTGTCTCAGCCTTTGGGCTCCTCAGTAGTTGGGTTACAGGACTGCACCATGAGGCCTGGCTGATGATTAACCTCCCCTGCCCCCCATCCTGGGATAGAAGTCAAGTCCTTGTGTTTGCTAGGCTATTACTGAGCTATGTCCTCACTGCAGCCATGACTGAGTCGTCTTACACCATTAAACTGAAGGGATCCTGAGATGGACTTAGTCTTGGGTGGAATAAAGTGCTTAGCTCTGTGTGTGTGCGAGAGTCTGGTGGGGTTGGAAGGAGACATGGAGGCAGGGCTAGGAAAGGATAAAAACCTGTAGGTCCTGGATCCGGGTGGGGGCTGAGGGGAGGAGAGTGATTGGTAAGGAGCCAAGAAGGTAGAAGATTTCCCTAGGGGAGACAGTGGCCCAGATCCTCAGGTGGGCCCAAGTCTCTGAGAGGCTGATGTCCTCCGTCCTCCTTGGCCCGTCATCCCACTGTAGCTGGCTTGGCCCTGGTGAAGAGCCGGAGGCTGCACTCGAGTGCTGTGCTAGCGGTCCTGGCGGATGACAGGCATATCATCTCAGGCAGCGAGGACCACAGCCTCGTGGTATTTGACCGCCGAACCAATGGTGTCTTGCAGCGGCTGCAGGTGGGTTGCCCTTCCCAGTAGCTCCGAGGAGGACTGCAGCCCAGCTCGCCGTTCCTGAGCTGCTCTTTCCCTTGTCCTTCCCACAGCTGGACTCCTATCTGCTCTGCATGTCTTACCAGGAGCCCCAGCTCTGGGCGGGTGACAACCAGGGCCTGCTGCACGTCTTCGCCAACAGAGATGGTTGTTTCCAGCTTGTCCGGGTCTGCTAGGACCCTTGTCTGTACCCCCTCTCCCCCCGTGACTCCTTGGGTGTGGAGGGCTAACAGTAGGAGAACTCCACCTGAGTGTCACCCATTATTTCTCCCCTAGTCCTTTGATGTGGGTCACCAGTCTCAGATCACAGGGATCAAACACTCGCTGGGGACTTTGTACACAACATCTACTGACAAGACCATTCGGGTAAGAACACTGACCCATGCAGACTCCACCACTGGCCAGGACACACATCCTGACCTCTACCTCTTACCCTTCTCAGGTTCATGTGCCCACAGACCCACCCAGGACCATCTGTACCAGAAGCCACCACAATGTGTTGAATGGGGTAAGGTCCTGCCCCATATAGCCTGCTGGCCTACCAAGAACCGGTGCCATCTCCTAATTCCACTGTCACTGCTCCCTAGATCTGTGCTGAGGGCAACGTGGTGGTGGCTGCCTCTGGTGGCCTGTCATTGGAGGTCTGGCGGCTGCTGGCCTAAACAGCTGGACATGGAAGTGCCTGAGTGTTGATGTACACTGCCTGCTGAGGCTGCACCTAGGCCTCAGCTCTGGAGGGCTTTCCTTCGATTGGTGCTGCTTCTGCCCTGCTCCACAGGCCTGTGGCAGAGGAAGCCCTAGGGCTGGGCCCACACCTGTGCCTGTGGAGGTGACATTCTTGTTTTGGCCACCCAGGGGGCTATTTGCTACCTTCTACCCTCCGTTGTTTTGTTTTGTTTGTTGAGACAGGGTCTCATACTGGCCTCATACTCACTATGTATTTGAGACAGGCCTTGAATGCCTGATCCTCCTGCCTAAGTCTCCAAGTGTTGGGATAATGGGTATACCACCAAACCTGGATGATCCCTGTTCTGTTAGGATTTGGGTGTTTCTTTCCCACAGGAGAGTGAAGGACAAATAAATGACCTACTGTGCAACTGTTGGGAACTGGAGTGTGAGCTTTGTGTGACCACGTTCTGTGACTGGGGTTGTACATGTGACTGAGTGGGAGGGGTTGCATGTTAGGGCTGGGGTGCCTGCTGCTCAGTGTGTACATGCTCTCAAGGACCATGAACACTTGGTCTGACTTAACTTAGTGAGGTGCTTGTGGGCTATGTGGCATGTAGACTCTGACTCAAATCCCCAATGTAGGTCTGTATGGAGGGAGCAGACATCTGCCCCACCCAGCCTGTAGGTATGGGGCAGGGGGCCCTATCGTGTGCCTCTCTCTATGCAGGGCTCTAGTTGCGCAGGTAGGTGCGGCTGTGGCTGCAAATAGGCTAGAAGGAAGCCTGGCAGGTGTGCGCTGCTCCCCAAAGCTGTGGTCCCTCAGCCTCCTGCTTGAGCACACACAAGCTGTAACACAGGAGCAGTCATGTTTATTGAGGCCCTAGTACTCAGGGTCATAGGGTAGTAGCATTATCATGGGGTCATAGGATAGCACAGGGCTTCTTTTCCTTGAAAGGGTTGGTGGCAGCTGGGATGCCCACAAGGAAGGGATCAGTCTTGGCCTGCTCCGTGCAGAACTGCAGCAGATCTGTGGCTGCCTTGGACACCTGCAGACCAACCAAATCAGCCACATCTGGGTGTCTGCCTGTTTCCTGGCCCAGCTGTGCCCACTCCAAACCTGCCCCACCCTTACCTTTATGCGGTTGATGCCTGCCTCCATCCGCAGTTGCTCCACTGCCCGGCGGGCTCGTCCGATGTCACTGCCAGTGGCCGCCTTGCTGGACATCTGGAAGAAGGTGAACAGGGCTGTGCAAGCCTGAACTTCTAAGCTTCTGCAAGTCCTCCTGGGTCCCTGGCTACTCCTGGTTCCCGCACGTTCAGATACCTCAGCTGAAGCCTCCTGAACACGCTTGGCTGCCTGCTGTAGCCTCAGCTGCCCTACTCTGGCTCCCTCCTCAACACTGGCCTCAATACTTCAACCCCCTTCCCAGTCCCTGTGGAGACTTTGAAGCCAGGACCCAGTGAAATGTCACCGGCAACAACAGAAGCAGCTGCTGTGACCGAAGGGGTCCGATCCCCAGGAGGCCCAGTGGCTGCTTTGGTGTCACATGTTTCTTGGGTCCCCTGAGGGACTAGGCAGCTTGGCTGCAGGCCTGAGGATGTGGGACTCCTATCTGCTGGGTGTCTGTGGACTTGACAGCAGGCCTCCCTCCCTGAGTCTGCCTCCCCATGCAGGCTGTGTGAGCCCTACCTGGGCTCCTCCCTGAACTCCAAACGGACTTTTTTCTTTTCTTCCTTCTTCTCAAGACAGAGTTTCTCTGTAGCTTTGTAGTCTGTCTTGGAACTTGCTCTTCACACCAGGCTGACCTTGAACTCACAGAAGTCCATGCCTGTCTCTGCCTCTTGAGTGCTGGGATTAAAAGGCGTGGGCCACCACTGCCCAACCCTCACCCCATTAAAAAATTATTTTAACGGGGTCTCGTAGCCTAGGCTGTCTTCAAAGTGACTATGGTAGCCCAGGCTGACCTTGCCATCATGCCTGGCCTGACATTACTTGTATGTTACACCTCTTACTGTGTCCATCCCCAGACTTGCATCCCAGCCGCTCAGGCACCCATTTCCTTCCAGTGCCTCCGTATCTAACTGCCTCAGGTACCATCGTATCAGCCTTTTGTTTTTTTTGTTTGTTCGCTTGTTTTTTGAGACAGGGTTTCTCTGTGTACTCTGTGTAGCCCTTACTGACTTGGAACTCACTTTGTAGACCAGACTGGTCTTGAACTCAGATCCATCTGCGTCTGCCTTCCTGGGCTTAAAGGTGTGCACCACCACTGCCTGGCCATATCAGCCTTTAAGTGAAGTTCTCTGGTTCCTGCTCTTACTGCTCACGTCACCTGTCTTCCTCCCCAATCTGACTCACGGGCCTGAACCAGGACAGTCTTCCATGTGTCATTTGCCAGCTTTTCTCTGCCCTGCCCTGGCTGTTTTGGCCATGGTGTGGCACACACCTGTGACCCTGTCACTCTGGAGGCTGGCTTGGGCTACACAGTAAGACCCTATCTCAAACAAAACAAAAGCAAACAACATTGGAGTGGGGTGGCTGGCACCACGTGTATTCCAAGCTACTGTAGAGGCTGAGGTGGGAAGACTGTTAGAGAGCAGCCTGGGCCACAGAAGGACCGTCAAGAAAATAAAAAAACTGCCCTCTGCTTGCTGCAGCCTCTTGAGTAGCTGGGACTCTAGAAACTCCCAGCATACCCAACCTCTTATTATCCTGCCCCCTTATCCCTCAGGGACTACCCTGACACCGTTGTCTGTCTCCCTCCCTCCCTCCCTCCTTGCGACAACAAACACCACAGACTGAATTATATAAACAACAGGAATTGTTGGCTGGGTGGTTGGAGGTGAAGGTGTTGGTTTTGGTTTCTCTAGAGACTGTTGTTTCATCAACTGCTTTTTTTTTTTTTTTTGGTTTTTCGAGACAGGGTTACTCTGTATTGTTTTGGAGGCTGTCCTGGAACTCACTCTGTAGACCAGGCTGGCCTCGACCTCACAGAGATCCGCCTGCCTCTGCCTCCCGAGTGCTGGGATTAAAGGCGTGCGCCACCAACGCCTGGCTCATCAACTGCTTTTTAAAAAGTATTTTAAAATTGCATTCATTATTCCAGCACTCAGGAGGTAGAAGCAGGCTGATCTCTGTGAGTTGAGGCCAGCTAGGTCTACATAACAAGTTCCAGACCAGTCACAGTTATATGTTCTCTCTTTATACCGTGTGGGTCTTGGGGATTGAACTTAGGTAGCCAGGCCTCCTGACAATGGCTTTTACCCAGTGAGTCGTGATCTTACCAGCCCTGAGGTCAACTTCTTGCTGTGTTCTTACTGGCTCTGCCCTCTGCATGCAAATCACTGGTGACTCAGTGTTTATCTGAGCATAACAGCCATTACTAGCTTAATCAGAGCAGCTCTGGCTACCTATAATCTACCCTCAAGATTGAACCTGTTCCTCGTAGAAGAAGAGAGCGCGGGCATCAGACTCTCACCTGGAACTCAGCCACTTTGCCCTTCTGCATGCCACCCCAGAGGCAGTGCTAGCAGTATACAGGAGGGTACTGAAGAGGGCCTCTGTCTATGCATCTTTGGAGGAGTAGTGTCTCTGAGATCTTTATATTAAATAGGAATTTTCTAGGTCTTCTGGCCATGTGTTTGGCATTTTTCTCCAATCACCCTTTCTGGTAAGGTTACCAACCCCTCCATCCACCTTCATATTGTGTGTGTGTGTGTGTGTGTGTGTGTGTAGGCCAGAGGACAACTTCAGGTGTCATTCCTCGGGAGACATCCTCCTGGTCCCCAAACCTTTTATTTTGTGCATGTATGAGCATGTGCATGCATGACGTGCTTGGGAGTCTGAGACTTTCCTTTTACCATGTGCCTTTGGATACCGAGCCATCCTACAAGTCCCTACTACTCCAGAGCCACACAGCCATTTTTTTTTAATTGGGTTCTAGGAATTGAACACACACATCCAATCCATACTTGCAAAGCAAGGGCTTTACTGACAGCTATTGTAGGGAAAAGGGACCAGTCAAAGAAACACACCCTGAGCAGAGCCAAAGAAACACACTTTGGCCCTGCAACCACAACCAAAGAAATGTACCCTGACCCTAAAACCAGTGCCAAAGGAACACACTTTGTCCCTGGAATCAGAGTCAGTGAAAGAAATGTACCCTGACCCTAAAATTGGAGCCAAAAGGCTAAAAAGGACCAGAGAAAGAAACACACTTTGGCCCTGAAACCAGAGCCAAATCTGACCCTAATCCTGTGTAAAAAAGTAACCAATCCCGGAGCAGAGCTCTAGCCAATCTGAGCTCAGCACTGAAATCGGACCAATCCCTACCCTGGAAAAACTTCCCCAACCCCAGGAACCCCTATATAAACCCTGTGTATGTTCAGCTTGGCTGGTCCAGCTGTCTTCCAATAAACACCTTTGGATGAGCTTCGGGTGAAGATCTTCTTTTGCGGCTGCGACAGAGCAAAGGCGACCCTGGGCAGAGCAGAGCAGAGCGAGCAGAGGCGACCCTGGGCAGAGCAGAGCAGAGCAGAGCGAGCAGCGCTGTAACACTTGCCCGGGAAACCTTCCTTGGCAGAGCGGAGTTGTTACACTCTGCTCCCGCCCGGCTCCCTGCTCTCCGCTCTCGGCTCTCCAGGAGCACAGCTGAACTGTAGCAACTTCACCGAGAAACCTCCTGCGGAGCAAAACTGCTACACTAGGCGAACATCCCCAGCTGGAAGACCCTGTCCTGCCGGAGCGGAGCTGACACACCGGAGAAGCCTTTCTCTGAGGCAAGGCTGTAAGCTGCCAAGCTTACTGCAACCCGTGGTGGTCCTTGGCTCCCGAGCTCCAGGATACCTTTCTACCTGAGCTGTGTAACACTCAGTATCCTTGGCTCCCGAGCTCCAGGATACCTTTCCACCTGAGCTGTGTAACACTGGGTATTCTGTGACTCCCGAGTGCCAGAATACCTGACCCACTCACTCCTGTTCCATCCTGTCCTGACCCATCCCGACGAAACGCTTACAGCTATTCCCTTTGCCACACCGTCCCTGTGGTCGAGCCATGGTCTCCTCTATAGATCAGGTTGGTCTGGAACCTGAGATTCTCCTGTTTCCACCTCTTAACTGCTGGCTGGTGTGTGCCCCGAGCCTGGCTTAACCACAATTTTCTGTTTCATCATTCAAAGATCAGGAGGGCAGAGGTCTTGTTCACTGAATCGTTGAATCTCATTACCCAGCAAAGCACTATTTAGTGTACGCTACAGAGATTATAGAATTAATAGGTGCCTGTCACTTCTTGGGGTAAAAAGACAGTAGCCATGCCTGCCTCCCACGAGGGACCCATGGTTCAGTGGAAGGGGGCAGCTGGGGCTGGAGAGGGAGAAGAGGAGGCACGAAAAGGAATACTTTTCCGTTTGACGAGAGGCTGCAACTGACGCATTATGCCCTGATGCCCTAAATCCTGTCTAAGGGCTTTGTTTGGGAATAACCATCTCGCTCATAGGGGACATGAACATTTGGACACACAACTCTCATCTGCTTTAAGCTGAGTCCGTTTACAGGGACTCCCGGCGCAGTGTACGGAACACAGGAGTAAAATGGCTGCTACCAGGACTGCAGGCGCTATCCAGGGGCACGTGACTAATAGCTTCCGGTCTCCCCCGTCCCGCCCCCAGGCTCTCCAGTCCCATTTCCTGGACTCGGGCCGACCACGCTGAGCGAGATTCCGCGGGTCCTGAGGCACAGAGGCTGTGGTGAGTTGAGAGCGGCCGCAGGCGCATGGAGGGGACCCCGCAGGGGGCGGCGCCCGCCGCGGCCTTGGCCGCCGTGCTCAAGCACAGCTCGGCATTGCCGCCCGAGAGTGCCCAGGTGCAAGGTTACGACTTCAACCGCGGCGTAGATTACCACGCACTTCTGGAGGCCTTCGGCACCACCGGATTCCAGGCTACCAACTTTGGACGCGCGGTGCAGCAAGTCAACGCCATGGTGAGGCTCAGGGCCGCCCGGGAGCGGGACGGGAGGGCGGGGCCGCCCGCGCGGATCCTCGCCCGAGTGTCTGGACGGGGCGGGGTCCTGGTAAATTTGCGTTTTGGGATGGGAGAGATTGGGGTTAATAGAAGGGCATCGTAGGACTTGCTTAACGCCCGAGAGCCTTGGATTCACTTTTCCCAGTGGAAGGAGACTTGAAAAGAAACTGTGTGGTTCCTAAAAGAGAACAAACCCTAAGTGACAGACCTGGACTGGGAAGGCAGGGCCAGCATCTGCACAGCGGTTGTGCGTTGCTTTTGAAGTAGTCCTGTATCCATCCGTGAGTCCGATCAAACTCTGGAATCCAGTCCGCCTGGGGTTCCTTGACCGAGGTCAGTGCAACTTTCCGTGCCCTCCCTCATGCGCAGATTGAGAAGAAGCTGGAGCCGCTAGCACTGGATGAAGACCATCACGAAGACTTGACGCAGAGCCGCCGCCCACTCACAGGGTGCACCATTTTCTTGGGCTACACATCCAACCTCATCAGTTCAGGCATCCGTGAGACCATTCGCTACCTTGTGCAGCACAACATGGTGAGTCCACCTTAGGTCTGTGCCTCAGCCAGCTTGGGCTAATGGATACTAGGTTACTGTTCATTTAAGAGAAATGAAGAGGGTCTGCAGAGGTTCAGAGGTTCGGAGTATTTGCTGCTCTTGTGGAAGGTCTGCTGAGTCACCGGTGCGACCACAGGGGTGTGCCACTTTTTCTGGCTGTGGGTCTGCTCTAAGCAGAGGAACACACTTGAGAGGCTTTTGTTGCATGCTTTGGGTCTGATGAGCTCAGGCTGATGGTAGCACTGCAGCTTAGGATGGCGGGTCCGTGTTGTTGCCTGTGACTACAGGTGGACGTGTTGGTGACCACTGCTGGAGGTGTGGAAGAAGACCTCATCAAGTGCCTGGCACCCACCTATCTCGGCGAGTTCAGCCTCAGTGGGAAGGAACTCCGGGAGAATGGGATCAACAGGTGGGGCCTGAGTAGTGTTGGGCGCAGGGGAGCTGGACTGAGGGTCTTGGGGACTGATGCCCATGTGCCTCCCATCCCCAGGATTGGGAACCTGCTGGTGCCAAATGATAATTACTGCAAGTTTGAGGACTGGCTCATGCCCATTCTGGACCAGATGGTGCTGGAGCAGAACACGGAGGTAGGGCT